AGCAATGTGTTTTATAAACGGAAAAAGTTTATAAGGCTTAAAAGTTAGGATCGATATTATCCCACATTGGTGTTGAAGTACACGTTAAAGATCCGCTAACAAAGACAATAACAGGGCACTCATAATATATTTCACATTATTAATATTTTTCGATAATGATAAGCATTTCCGTTGGTTGTACATACTGTTGAGAAAAGTGCTCAAGAATAAGATTTCTTTTCATAAGCCGTTTGAACAAAATCCTTGATATTTTTATATAAAGAGAAAATGATCTCGAAGTTTCTCATTGATACCATTATATTAGAGCGTCGCTTAAACCGGATATTCCATACATGGCCACAGTGGAAGATAAATTGCTTGATGATAGATAAAATTCCCTGAAAACCTATTTTTATCTTTTTCACAGCTATTTTTATAAACATTTCAGTTGATCGAAAATATCCGAAACCGTACAAACTTCGAACTTAACAAGTTCAATTTCAGAGTTCGAGAAACGACCAAAAGCAACACGAATGCACCTTCGAACCCGTCCAAACGTCATCGAGAGCGCCTTAATGGCGAGTTGGAGACTGTGGCGGGGCTTCTACCGTATGAGGAATCTGTCCTTCAAAGACTCGACAAATTATCCGTTTTGCGGCTTGCCGTCTCATATCTTCACATCAAAGCTCATTTTCAAGGTGCGTTTGTTTCTTTTTACACCTTTTATAATTGTTTACTTTATAATGACAATGCATATGAAAAGCTTTGATATCCGAGGAGTCTCGAAGTTAGAATAAATCAGTCAATGAGGACGCTTTTCAGGTGCGGCAATTGTCAAAAGGGGATGTCACCCGACGAAATTGCGTCATAGTAAAACAAAGGAGATTTCTTAGTGAAATACTTACTTCCGAATGCAAAACAAGGTATCCTGCTGATTTGTCAGGATGAAACTCTAAACTCGGGAGGGCCTTTGATTTTTGAGACTTTTTGATGACTTTAATTAATCTAAAGGTTATCAGTAAAGTAACGGTATCAAAAAGTTTTCACTCAACTTTTATTACTACAGTATGTTATATTTCGCTAACCAGTTTACCTTGGAATTATTTCTTGAACTAGCGAAGTGGGGCCGCTTCGCGGCCCTCACTTCGCTAGGAAGCGGTTAGCGTGCACAGCGGGAGATTGGGTTCGTCATCGCTTCGCGCACCGCCATCAGTGTGCCCTCGTCTGTATCAGTATGCCCACCGCCATCAGCGGTCAGATTGGGTTTTTCGGGAGTAAGGGTTGTTCGGGAGTAGAGCAGCATGAGACTATTTCGGGCCTTCGGCCCTCAAGCAGCTGTTGTTCTGGAGTAAGGGTTGTTTGGGAGTATATGTTAAACAAAAACCTCACTTACAGACAAAAAACCTCACTTACAGACAACAAACCTCACTTACAGACAAAAAACCTCACTTGACTCAGTCTGAGTTCGGCTCAGTCTGATCTTTGATCCCTTAAAAACCTCACTTACAGACAAAAAACCTCACTTACAGACAAAAAACCTCACTTACAGACAAAAAACCTCACTTGACTCAGTCTGAGTTCGGCTCAGTCTGATCTTTGATCCCTTAAAAACCTCACTTACAGACAAAAAACCTCACTTACAGACAAAAAACCTCACTTACAGACAAAAAACCTCACTTGACTCAGTCTGAGTTCGGCTCAGTCTGATCTTTGATCCCTTAAAAACCTCACTTACAGACAAAAAACCTCACTTACAGACAAAAAACCTCACTTGACTCAGTCTGAGTTTGGCTCAGTCTGATCTTTGATCCCTTAAAAACCTCACTTACAGACAAAAATACAGAATGCCAAAGGCGGGAATTCAAATTCGAATAAACGTGCGGCGTACGGACGGACGGAAAAAGACATCACAGACTTATTATAAGGATTGAGTGAGGGAAGGGCACCATTTTGGGGGTCAGAATTACGAAAATTATCTCTTTGGTTCAAAATCAGTTTACCATTCTCGAGAATTTCTAGCCAAAGCGAGACATTCCTAAAACCATTTTTGGAAAACTTCCCAGCCAACTCAAGAGCCTTGACCATGTCAGTGTTGTTTAATCCAATGAGTACACAAAGGTGTTAATTACGGTGTCATGGGAACAATACTTGAACTGTCATTCCTTAGGGATCATTTTTCTTTCTTCATCCACTTGTCAAATTAAAACCACTTCAAGGCTCAAAATATTAGGAATGGTTTTCAGAAAGGGCGAGATATAAATTTTTGCCATCAAGTAAAAAACTAAACTATTACGTGATTATTCGCTAAAGATTAATTCACCATGGATATTTAAAATTACAGTACAAATCATAGTTGCCCGAGTCCCACATAAAGCGATTGACACTTTTGAACACTACTGAAGAGATAACGTAAACTTGACACCTTACCTAATCTGATTGCTTCAAAATTGTTTTATAATGAACATATGTGAAACACAAACAATTAATGCGAAACTGTTTCAGCATGCGCACACTCATTTTTGGTTCACGGCGGGAATTGCCCCCGACACCCGTTCGCCTATGTAGGACCAGTCCCACGAAGCGTGGTGCCGAGCCTTGTAGACACGACCTCGGGAGTGCCGCTGATCGACATTCATGAACCGTTCTTCTCGAATTTGGCTCAAAAGGTGAATTTTTATACACAAATCGCGATTAATGGAATATTTCAGGCTCTTGGAGGATTTGTAATTGTTTTGAGCGAAGACGCCGAGATCTACTATGTGACGGTATCGTTTACTTTATAAGCAGTTTTCATGATATGATGTTATAGGAAAACATCGAAACGTATCTCGGATTTTTGCAGGTATTAATGTTGATTCCATATTATTTTGTTGGGAAAAGGACAGTCGGATGGTTTGTGTAGTTGTCCAGGTGTTCATGTGTTACCCAAATGGATTCAAATAGAAGCTTATACCGTAAATCCTCTAATTAATCCCCCCCTCAAATAAATCCCCCAAAATGGGTATTTTTCCAATTTTTTCCAAATTTCAAATTTTTGGCGAAAATTTTTTGGCGCCAATTCAAAATTGGTTCAAATTTTCAAAAATTTTGCCAAAAACCCAAAGATTTTGACAAAAAGGCCCAAAATTTTTCGCCGCGTCTTCGGCGCGGCCCCCGAAATTTTAATTCCCTCCCTCAAATAATCCCCCCCTCTAGAACCTGACGAAATAATAATTCCCCCGGGGATTAATTAGAGGATTTACGGTATACAAAGTTTTAACAATTGTAGAAAAACATAAAATATTAAATCTAGTAAATAAGATACGCTGTAAGGATCCTACTGAGGATGTGCCGACCTTAGATCAGTAGAATAGTTAAGCTGTCTAGGATAAGGCGCGAAACGGCATTTCATAATTTTCATATTTAATAGGATCAATACAATAAATTTCCCGCGTATTCTAAATACGCATACTATTTATGCTCAAGGCAACAGCCTAAACACACATGGATAACTTATGCACTCCTGGATAACTATTCGATTCCTGTCCAACTATTACAGTTGGATCCCTATGCAATTATGGGTTGCGCGATTTTGCTACATTCCATACATACATTTTAAAACAATTGACTATTTCAGTCTGATGTACTGCACCAGCCCCTTTTCGAAATGATTCACAGCGAGGACCGCGATGAGCTCAAACAAACGCTAAGATTTGACCCAAATAATGCCAGTCCATCTGAAGAAGGTGATTTTTAGAGATTATCGTTATCGAGCTCTCGTGGTGAGCATGACTCATGGCCCGATATTTTCAACCTAAAAGCAACAAAATCGAGGGCTTAGCTCGACAAAACTAGTAGAGAAGTTCCGAATTTAGCATACATAATAGGTAAGGAAAAATGTTATACCTTTATAGGGTTTCACTTGGTAGGCAGACTAATATACTCTTAACCATAACTCAACTTTGGGCGATGGTTCAAATAGAAGCCTTGACTATTACTGTTAGGCGGAATCTTTCTTAGTCTAGAATTCCTACTTAGTCTAGCCCATCTGTAGCTTAAATCATGACATCGTAAATCAAGTGTCATACAATGTGACCTCTTTTATTAAATTACAGAATTCGATTCCACAAATGTCCGAACCGTTGTGGCGAGATTCCGGTGTTTGCTCGACAATACATGTGGATTTATTGTGAGTTCCTACCTTAGTTCAACAAAGCTACGGATTAGTAACTGAAAAAAAATTTACAAAGCCAATAATTTACAGAGAGTGGAGATCAAAGGGCGATTTATGTCTTTGCATTCCTCAACCTTACCTCAGTCCTCGTCATACGTCCCACCAAATCAACAACCAAAGTCACCTAGTTACGTCCTCGTCGCCACGTGCACGTAGGTTTAGGTTTCATCTTTTGTGTTTGCTATAATCAGCAGGTTTAAGACCATTTGTCCCGCCGATTCAATTTGACCCTAATGTGGATGATCCGATCCTGAAAACAAAGCATGCACTTGATTTGTCTTTGTCCTCAATGGATAACCGGTAAGATATTTATCTTAAGAGCTACATTCTTACATTCTGTGACGGGGACTCGGAAGTATTTTTCATTTTAATAGCCTCATTTTTTAAGTTTCTCTGCTGAAACTAGTTCGATCCATATTGGCCCTGCATGTTTGCTCAGATGAATAATGATATTACTGATTTGTTTCAGAGTCCGCGCAATATTGGAGCTTGATGAAAATGACGGAGAGAATGGGTCTTCAAAAGGCCAAAGTTTTTATTCACTGGTTCATCCAGAGGACGTTAGCTGTGTCACGGAGGCTCACGACTCAGGTATATTTCTAGAAGGATTGAAAGTCTATTAAAGTAATAATTATGAAACTAAATAAAATCAGCGAAAAAAAGAGGTTAGATTCGTTAGAAATAACGAATCTAGAAAATTTAAGCATAAACATCATTCAAAAATTATTTTAACAAACCATTTCCAGACTCAACCACTTCCTATTTTTCTCTTTAATTCTTCAAACATAACGGTTCCAAAAAGCATTCCAGCCCCTACTGGGACTCGAACCCAGATCGTTGGATTAGAAGTCCAACGCCTTATCCATTAGGCTATAAGGGCACATATAGCGTATAGAGAAAAATACTTTGATAATGTTGCTTCACCTACTAAAGCGGTATATTATTATTTAAAAATTCGTTTAAAAGCTAGCAATGATTCGATTATGAAATTCTGAGCCTACTCAATCCCAAATTTGACTGATTCGATTTAAAATATGTGAAATGCTTTAGTGATCAAATACTCCTCTTCCGGCCTAATGATTTACCGGCTCATTGGCAAGCGATCTGGCACAATTCATTTTGTGCAGAGTAGTTTGAGGCTGTTCTTCAAAAATGGGAAACCTGAAGCCATTGGTGGAAACCACAGGCTTTTAACGTAAGTAAAATGTACTGTTAACTAAACTCCATATTTTACTAGAATAAAATTTCATTAATTATTAAGCTCATAGTTTGTTTATAGTTTCCTTTACTATTCTACTAGTGTATATAGTTATCTATTATATGATTAGTTAGTATATATAGTATAACCTAAAAGTTTGGTTTTAAAACTAATATAAAAAATTTCTTTTAGAGAGGTCGACGGCCACGCATTGCTAGAAAAGCGAGCTTCACTAAAATTCAAATATATATCATTTGACGACACTCTGCTTCAATCTCCGAGAATATTCCAAGGAGCACAAAGCTCCGTCAACTGCAGTGATACCTCTGGCATCCAAATTACAGTCGATGATGGATCACATTCGCTTGTACCCTGTTCATCAATTCAAACAGCACAACCTTCAGGTGTAGAGTCTAAAGACAGGTATCCTCCTTTGTGAATAATTTTCCGTATAATTGTAATGTGAGTTTTCAGGAAGCAGACCTCCAATACTACAACGAAATCCCAAAAGTCTAAAAATAAATCCTCAAAGAAATCAACTGACATCGAGACGTCAAAAAGTGGGAAATCGTCTTCTAAATCAGAATGCCCATCAAATTCAAGTCACGTAGACGTTGGACCAGGTAATTTTTGTAGTTATTGGTGTGAAATGATACGAAGGCATAATTATTTAGTTCCAGTGATGATATACTAGAAAACGTTTAGCTAAGTGAAGAACATTCTGTCAAACGAATATCTTTTATAATATGCGGCTTGGGTGGATGGATGGATGGATCCGTGACACGCTTTTGTAGTTTGTAGTCTGGGAGGGTACAAACTACAAAATTTATATTTCTGGGATTCCGACAGAAATTTTTGGTACTAGGGGGTTTTCAGATACGGGGAATCCGAATCTGAGGTCAGATTTTGGGAATCTAGATTCAGAATCCCGGATTCTGATGCACCGTTGACTTAGCGTGAAAATGGTACCAAATCGCCGGGATTTGATGCCGTTATAGGTTTTCGGCTACGGGAATCTAATGCTGAAGTCAGATTTTAGCTATCTGGGCATCTGGATTCAGAATCCCGGATTCTGATGCACCGTTGACTTAGCGTGAAAATGGTACCAAATCCCCCTTCGAGCGGCCGAAGGCCGCGAGGATCCGCTGACAAAGCCAGGCACCCCCAAATACTTAGACCCAATCTGACCGCTGATGGCGGTGCGCGAAGCGCCGCTGATGCACGCTAACCGCTTCCTAGCTGAGTAAGGGGGCGCGAAGCGCCACCGTCTCAGCTAGTATTATATATTTGGGGATTTGAAAACCTGTGCAATACTTGTTAGGACTTATGTGAACTTTTTGAGATTGTAATAATCAAAGCGATTCCTCCAAAATCAAATTAATTTGAAAAAATAAAGTATCCGGTCCCTATAATTCAACTCTAAAGTAGATTACTACTGTGTCAAGCCTTATTAGTAGTCACTGAAGACTAGTGAATTCTAAAGCAATGTAATCTGTCTTATGCTATGTAAAAAAGTAAAGGATATTTTTGTGAATTAAAAGTGTCCCAGATTTCATATAATTGTGAGCCTCTGTTACACTATAAAATTTTTACCACATATTAAGATAGGGTCTATCTCACGATACCAGCCCCCATTAATAAAACCTTGCGATATCATAATAGCTTAGGTTGAGTGATAGGCAATTTTAGTTTTCAACTTTTTTGGACTTCTTTCTCCATCTTACAATATAAAGGCTCTAGCAATTTTAATACAAAACTCGTGTATCAAAATTTCAGGAATTGCTACCCATCCTCCCCTACTTCCCACAACTCATTTGGGCACTGATCTGCCTTCATCATTCTACCCGTTCGGTGACCCACTGCTCACTTCAGCCAGTTCATTTCTAGGCTTTCCACCTACAACTCATGACTCGCTCATAGACCCGTCCACTTCAAACTTTTGGCCGTCATACACGACACAGCCCGCGGCAATGAAGAATTTTAAGAGAGCAACTCAGTCAGCATTCCAGAAATACTATTCAGACACACTCGATTACGGGTTTAACAACCAAGGTATGTTATGCATGATACTTGCTTTCTCTTGCCAATCCTATAAAAAAATTTCAGCGGGATACTCCACCTACGCAACATTCAACGACGCCCACCAAAGTGGGGCGCTGGAGAACAACAACAAGTTCCCATGGCCATTTGTGAACAGTACAGTTGCTTCCTCCTGGCCAAGCTATCCATATTTCCACACTAATTCGGCTGGATATCCTTCCTCGGTGGATTTTGGCCAATCCCATTACCTTGCCGCCTATAACAGTAATTTACCCATTAGTGGACAACAGCCGGACGAAATGCAAGCAAATGTTGCGAAAATGTATCCATTGTACCAAAATGCGCAGTGGGGACCGCATGCTAAGCCGGAAGGAGCTCATTTGGGTGGCGACTACTCAGCTGGGACTTCGGATCATCAACATCTCAATGGACTACACTTGGCAGCAAATCCTTCGTGCTCCACTATGCTCAGTGGTGAGAATTTCAATTTTATCGTTTTACTAACTTTATAAATGCAGGCCAAAGATGGGATGAAACAATAAAAACTTATGCTCAAATTCGGATTCTGCTTACTCTAAAATCCTTACAAACAGGGTTTTATGCGATTATTTATAGAACAATCGAAAAGAAGAGCGTCGAGATTGGTGGCTTTTACTATATTTTCTAAAAATTTAATTTTTGGCCTTATTCACACATTAGTGTTGAGTACAGTTAATGCCCAAAATTCATAATACAGGCCTTCTTTCGCTGAATGTCTTCTGTCTCAAAAGTGGCTAAATTTATGGCGTTTTACACTTCCCAAATTTTTCAGATGTAGGCGCTCTAACACATGGAGAAGTTCTTCACGCTTCAGCAAGTACTGCTAGTCTGCCATCAAAATTCGTTCCAAAGGACACTAATGATACAATAGAGATTGCAGCTTATCCTAACCAGACAGCTCACCACAGCTATTGGCGTCCAATACAAGCTCCAATCCCGAACCAACCGGCAGACTCATCAACTTCTCTGGTGGTTCGGCCTTATCCTGACAGCGAAAATCAACCGGCTTTGGCTCGTTTATCTCCGACCTTTATCAGTAGTGCGGTGGCATCCGCTACGGGATTCATATTTTCGGAGGTGGCTAATACATTGTTTGGGCAGTGAGGAACAGCAGTGCGCGACTCAAATGGAAGATTTTTAGTCAGAGAATATGTGACTAGATTGGGACCTTGATTAAAGTCTCCTAAACCTATCATATTGTTGTACCTTGTCAGATAAATATTTAAAGAAGAATATATAAACTTTATGTTGCATGATTCATAAATATGATTGATGAAGACGTCATATCATAGTTGACACCCAACATAATTGACACGTCTTTTGGGATTATGAGCCTAATTGTTCCAAAATTGGTTTTTTCGAGAGCTTAAGCCCAATTATAAATCCTACCTAAGCCTAAAGTATGCACTTAAAAGGTTTTAGTGCCTAAAGCCTTAGGGTGTTAACTACGAACAACATCAAAAAATAAGCAAAAGAGAGTTAAATCGTGTCAGGAAAAATTTGCGCCACAGGGTGACCATTTTCTTAAGATATCCCCTAAAAAATCAAGGAATACCTCTTGAAAAAATTAAAGTACGCACTGTTTTAAAAAATGACGCGCAAAAAATAAGTATGACATTGGCGCTATAAAGGGAGTGGATTTAGCCATTTACAATGAAGAGATCCTTGTGATCCTACTGAGAATCGTTGTAGCAGATAACAGCTGTAATATTTGCATGGGATTTCACAATAGAAAAGATAGCACAAAACGAAAGACCGTTTGCACAAGAAGAGAATGTGTTTGCCGCAAAAAAGGAAAACAGTCCAAATGCAACTTTGCCGTTTCACACATTATTTCATCATTTTATTTTGAGTGTTTTGTAACCATAGTTAGCAAATTGAGTATTATCCATTGCATAATTGAATCTTGCGATATAATTGAATTCCAATTTGTGATGCGCCACACCACTATGTCTGCCAAAAATAATAATGCAAAATTATTCTCACTTACGTCCAGAGTTGATACTTATAACTAGGGTTGGCAGTATCATGACTAAAAATGTTAAGAGAAGATCGCATTACAAACATCAAGTAAAATGTCAATATATTTGAATATACTTTATGTTGGCCGAAATTCTCGATTTCGAGTCCCAAAGCTAAAAACACGATTTGGCATATTCTCGAAAGTGGATTTGTAAATCAATCATGACCAGGGTGCGGATTTTCCGGACATCTCTAAATCTCTATCACACTGCCTAATTTTGTTTCACAACTCGCTTTGGTGTAAACAATCGCTTTTGTTTAATCGACTCTCCATTAAATGAGTCAGACACGTCATTCGTTTACTACGCATATCGTTAGTTGATTTAGAATCACAAAAGCGTGCTTGCGCAGACGCTTGTATACAGTATTCTTTCTGTATCAATGATTGTTGACGAATATCGATGTGAGCACATATTAATTTAATAGGTGTAAATTGTGAGTCAAAAATATTCATAAAATTTCTCTCAATTTGAAGCTACAGCTTGCTACGATTGAATATTATTGACTATATGCGAAATACTGGTTCAGAGAACTAGTAGGAGAACTAATGAAAAATCCAGTAAAATATAAAATTGAAGGAT